TATTTTTCTCCTCCCTTTATCAAACTGTTTCCCCCCCCTGTTTTAATCATAAATTAATACAATTTAGTGAGGTTTATGCTTAAAACAAGAATTTTAACAACCAATTTGCCAATGCAATGTAAGAAAAATTTACTTAATTTGGGATACATTATCCAAACTAAATATTTAACTATTTTGCTTCTCAAGTAAATGCATCTTGGTTTAACAACGTTCAGATATTTTACTGAAAAATATACATGACTTTTTCTATGTCTCATGAATGGGTCAGGATAAGTATAAATAAAATAAATATTATCTACTGCAAATACTGTATATAAACACATACTATAATACATCATAAAATAAGCCAAACACTAATGCATGTACTGTAGTAGTCATACTGAACTCCTGGTAGGGCACATGCATTAAAGATTGATAGTGACAACAGCTGAATATATAGAAGAAGCTGTTTTGTGCCCTGCAATTGTACAAAGGCAGGACGAAGGATCTTGTCTTTGCTTGGAAGAGAGCGAGCAGCAAGGCACAGAGAACTTCAAACAGTAAACGTGAGAACATCAAATGTTAAGGGATTATGGCTCTGCAAAACCAAGAGCCTAAGAGAGAGAGAGAGAGAGAGAGAGAGAGAGCGAGAGAGAGAGATGAAGAGAGGGAGTGACACGACGAGCAGAACAACAGAGGAAATATCAGCCTCCACATGATGCCAAACCATCGATTGAAATTTAGGTGCTTCTTTCTACTGCTTCTTGGGATTTTACCCTCATTCTTTCAAATCTAAAACAAAAGTGATCAGTATTATTTATTTAAATGTACGAGGCCTGTATCTGTTAAAACCAATGAACGTTTGAAATATATAATATATACAAAACATGTTACAAGCTATATATATATATATATATATATATATAGGGCACAATGTATTGTATTAATATTATATAATTTTCTGTATTTATTTATTATTATTTTTTTTTACAGGTGTTTCACCTATATTTTAAATTATACATTTCATTGCATTGTGGGTTCATGGAAATGTCTATAAAATTATAGAAAACTATCAATAAATATTCTTAAATATAATATTTAATGGGGATTTTCATAAATGCAATATGCAATTTCTCCAGAGGACATTGGAGAATAATTAGCATATACTTGCTTGGAGTCATGATATAGTTGATTAAGCTTTTGAATTTAATGCCTCTACTTCATCTTAAACAGTTTGTTTATGACAGGCAATGCGCATTTACAAATTTACAGATTACAAATGTATCTCTGTTTATATGGTTAATTAGCTCAACTCATTTAGAGACACCATTATATAACTGAAATTTCCCTCATGTTCTCATTTAGACATACATATTGATTTGTTCAAACATAAGCTTCAGACCAGTGATTTAGTAAGTATGAAATGAATGAATGAATGAATTTTTGCTCTAGTAACTAAGAGTAGACTTGATAATAATAATAATAATAATAAAACTTTAGGGTGACAAAAAACATCTTGCGTTTGAACATTTGTGACAGCATGCCCCAGTAGTGGCAACATGTGCCTGTAGTAAATATCACATTATATGGGGTAAGTTGTCACAAAAAAACTGCCATTGTATAGTGTATTATATGCTTTTTAGCAAAATATAATAATTTAAACAACTCTAAAATGATAAAAATAACAGTTTTATAATAACAAACATAAATAAATAATATAAAGCATAAGACAACCTGCACTAAAATGTGATAATTGCCTAATAATAATCTGATGTTTATGAAAATATTTGTGATAGATAGCTAGATAGATAGATGATATTGCTATTTTAATGTTTAAACCCATCATATAAACCACATTTGACTTTTGACTCAAAAACCTTATATTTCAGAGACAGTTTGCCCAGCCTCTTTCTGCATTATATTGTCACTAAAGTACTTTAACACACATTTCACACTAAGCAGTAGAAATGTAACTGGCAGCAAATCCTATTTTACTGTATATACTAATAATCATCACTTAAATGTGGCAAATTATCTTCCATTAACTTATTCTATTAACTAATTTGAACATTCAAATTTATTATTTTGAATGATACTAAATGTGAACTGCACCAACGCTGGAGAAGGAGGAAAAAATCCCACCAAGAGTGTCAAAAAGTCCTATTTGTGGAGCGCAAGGTCGTCTCAGACATGACTGTGCTATGGTGCGTCGATGCCCTTGTGCACTCAGCCAGTGCGCAGCGGTCAGATTCATGCGGTGATATGTTTTCATTGCGTCCGCTCTGACGTGAAGAGCGACAGAGCCCCGAGGGTCGGACATGCAACTTCAGTTTCGTGGGAGAAAGCATTTCCCTGCGCCAGAGAAAACAGACGATAAGTGGAACTGGAAGTGCCCTTTCCCTGTTTGTTTTCTTTATCACCGGCTCGGAAAAAATACGGCAGTTCTGAAGCCACAGGCACGCTAGTGGACACATAAGGATTTTCTGATGAAAGTCAAGGTTGTCCAGTTTAAAGTCGAGGTTATCCAGCGAGGAAGATTTATCGCTTCTCACAGGAGTCCGCAGAGATTTTTAGTTCACGCGAACAGCCAACGTCTGTTTGAAAGAGCTTAAATATGCGTTTATACGACAGAGGAATAACCGGTGATAATATGAAGTCATTTGTAACATAACATCTCTGAAATTAAAGTTTTAAAGATTATCTAACGTTCGTATATTCAAATATCAACCACATTTAGAAACGCGAAATAAAACGCGGGCTCGTGCTACCTTTTTGTTCCAAATTTGAGGAATGCTTCGACGGTCTTGTGGAAAGGATATGTTGGACAGTTTCATAAAGTAAATGTCAATTAGTCTTTTTTACTAACTTACTTCTCAAAAGGAGATATCCAAGTACTGGAATTGTACGGTTTGAACTATTTCTGACGCTATTTCATCCAGCGACTGACTGTTGGAAATGAACCTGAGGTGAGAAAAAGACGTCCGTTAAATATCCGTTGGATTTGTCGGCGAACATTACCGGATTCTGGGATCGTAACAGCTCATTGCGAGTTCGAATGGGATCTATCATGATTTTACTGAATATTCTGAGCGTCCTGTTTTTATTGGGTAAGTGATGAATCGAATGTTTCATAAATGATACGAGAGACAAAAAGTAATAATCCATGAGGATGAAAGAGTGATGAGAACCCACGCGGACAATCATTTATCATATTGAGAGAGTGCAGACATTTATCTGCCTGCGTAAAGTATACATTTGACGGCCAAAGAGACAGTTACAGAATGAACTCAGTCTTTCATACTGGCAGCCCTCTATACTTCAATAGTCTCATCTCTCAGTCAGAGGAAAGATCAAGATTGAACAAACTGTGTAATATTACAGAAGCTGGGTTTACGTTGCAATGCAATGCTTGTTATTTCACGATGCAGTATGCTAACCTCTGTTTCCCAACTAGAATACGATTGCTCGTTATTTAGAAGAACTTCAGGGCATCGTTACGTGAGATATCAGGTCCAAAGGTGCTGAGACCAGTGTCAAAACTTAATCGAAAAAATGGAGCGAAAATGTCCAACATAAAAAAAAACCTGTAGCTTTTCGAGACGCTGAAATTAAACATTTCTGAGTTTAAAAACATAATTGAGTTTTGGCTTCAGTAATACAAAAACACCATGCAGTGCAACATAAATTTGCTGATTTGTTTATTTTGATTGACTGATTGATGAATGGTCTAGAAGGAATGGGGTACATACATACAAAGTACATAAATACTTTTAAGTGTCCAAAAAAGGCGATCCCAAAATTCAGAGAAACCAGAAATTGCGTTCGTCTCAAGTAACCATAGCAACAATACTCAACTCCTGCACTTTCAGTTTGGTTCGGTGTCCTATCAAACGCTAGCTACCACCGGCGAAATATAAATAGGTAAATATTACATAACATTTTATTAAAGAACCACATCTAAAATATATCACCAAAACAGCAATTAAAACTTTAAAAAGACAGATTTGACGATAAGGCCACAAGACGAGCCTCAACAGATTGTGCCCATTAAGTATCATTAGTTGCAATTAGTTACTTATGCTTAAAATAGGCCTGCATAAACGTATGGTCGGTCATGTAGCTAAATTTAGGCGTAGCATGTGGGATGCGCAGACAGTTGTAAATTATCCAAATGCATTACTATTATTTATTAAGTGTCCCTTTGTAACCTGTGAAAGCGAAGCTCTAGTTAATTAAAGAACGTTTTTACGTGCTAATTACATAATGACACTTTTGGGAAACATGCTATACAGATTTAGTACTACTTAAGCCCTTATTAACGTTCTGTTTAGTGTTTTGGGAAATCTAGCCCAGGTTATTTGAACCCAGAACCACTGAGAGGAACTGTCCATGGTGCTGAAAACACGCGAAAACCTCTTAAAGGCTTATAATAAAATAACTCCTACAGGTTTTTTTTAAACATCCACGTTTTTAGGTTGTACTATTATTGTATAGTCACATTTTAAACGTTTTACTTAAATGTTTTCTTCATAATGTGTTTGATATGACAGTAATGTTGAGTAATTCAATTCACTTCCATCTGGTGTAGTTCCTTGCCTCACCGACAGGAGTCGCTGTCATTAGGGTTTAATGCTTTCTGCTGTATCACTGTGGGGAAAAAATGGTACCTTAGGACTCTCTTGGGTCTCTACAAAAATACTAAATAAATATTATTGGTGTTGTTCTTTTCTAAATTAAGTCATATTAAAAACATAAATAAAACCTTCATTCACACCACCTCTTACCCGGTCTGATGATGCCCATGCCCTTCCCACAGATGAGGTGGTACTTTCCATGGCCAGCCATTCTGCCTCGTCAGGGCTGGGAACTCATGGTTGGAGAACCCCCATGGACTGCCTGAGGGCCAGTGAGGTGTGCAACCAAAACTCACAGTGCAGCTCACGCTTCCGCATCATGCGCCAGTGCTTGGTAGGTCGTGACAGGACTACCATGCTGGCCAACAGGGAGTGTCAGGCCGCCCTTGAGGTGCTGCAGGACAGCCCCCTGTACGACTGCCGCTGCAAGAGGGGCATGAAGAGAGAGCTCCAATGTCTGCAGAGCTACTGGAGTATTCATATGGGTCTCAATGAAGGTAAGGCTGCGTTTTTGATCTTAAAGTGTTTTTCTGTCCCATCCTATACACAAGCCATTTTCGAAGGTTTATTTCTGTGAAAAGTGTAAAAACTGTGGCATTGTTTGTTTAGGAATCTTGCTCAGCTCCAAACAATTGCTCAATCAACGGTGTGAGTATGGGGCGGGACAATCTGTTTGGTGAACAGTGTGACACACTTTGCCTATAAAGTGACTGTTTATGCAAAAATGAGCATTTGGTCTTCATGTACATCATGCACACATGGGTTGCCAGATTGAGGACACGCAACAGGAACAAGCACAATTAACCAAGAAGTTGATGAGTTGCTTTATCCTTGTTGTAATGTGCCTCTGGTCATAGAGCTTTTTGGATGGATGCCGCAGCCTTTCAGGTAGGGGCAGAATCTGCAATCTCTGACACAGTTCGTTTGCTGGATTCCATGGCTGCAATATGCTGTGTCTTCGACCAACTGGCAACCCAGGGTGTTGAAATACTATTGGGTAAATTGGCAGTGGGCGGAATCCACCAGACCAAAACAAATTCTGAAATTGAATGCACATTTCGAAGTAGAATAACTTGCTGTAGCATTGTTTTTTGGAGAAACAAGTATGTGAACTTAGCATGTTTCCTAAATATCTGCAAACATATTATGGCATTTTTATTTGCTTTAGTAAAGTCAAAAAAATTATGATACAACATCTTTAACTAACACTATATATAAAAATGTTAATTGAAATAAAGCTGCAATAATATAAAATATACATTTTAGACAAAAATCTTACACTAAAAAAATCTTAGCACTAAAACGACTAACTGGAAATAAATAAAAAATAAAACGGAAATAAAATAAAATTAAACAAACAGTGATAATTAAAAAAGACTAATAAAAATGACTGAAAATTTAACTAAAAATATAATTAAAACTGAAAAAAAAATCCAATTCAAAATATTAATATCTATGATAGTATAAAAAAATTATGCTACACTGCTGTGAAACACAAAATATGATATTTTGAAAAATATTTTTGTCCATACAATGAAAGTCAATATAGGGCCCAAAACAACAACTGGATTCCACTGACTTTCACGTATGGACATTTTTCAAAATCTCTTGTGTGTTCAGCAGAAGAAAGTCAGTTATGTCAAGTCGTTCCCACAACTTTCTAATTTGTTCCTTCATTTGAATTAAATAATGGCCACAAATTAAGAATTCGTTCCCTTGTTTTAGCATTAAAATTCTTTAAACTAAAACAAGGGTATGGAGAAATAAAGCAAGTAAACAAGTTCTTAATTTGTGGCCTCAATAAATATATTTTTGTCTTCATGTCATGTCCGGGGCTCTGAAGAAACGACATGGTATTTCATTTTTGTGTGAACTGTTCCTTTAAGTGATATTTGAAATATTGTGCATCAAAATGGTCTTGGTGGAATCTTGGAAACAAATGGCTGTGAGTTGCTTTTCCAAGTGCTGCATAATAGATGATTTGTTTTTTACTTGACGCAAGGGAGATCTGTAGCGTAGATTTAGGGTGGCATCGATGTGCGGAGCAGACAATTAACCAGATTGCAGAGAAAGTCAACGCGTACCTGCTCTCTTTACAGTCAGTCCATTACAGAAGCGTTCAGACTTCTGAAATGGCAGTTAGCATTTGCCTTTGGGAGTGTAGGGAATCATTATAGGATTTAAGCAGTGCAAATCGGCCTGAATTATAACCCATCTGCTTTGGCAGTTGCTGCGGGAGCCACAACAAATAGGGTCCTATTGATGCGAGTAATCAGAGAGCCTTTTAAAGCAACTGCCCCTCTCAAGTCTGGCATTTCAATGAGGCATTGTGGACTGCTGGGCCTGCTTACTGCCTGCTGAGGTAAGGGGAAAAAATAAAAATCACACAGCTTCCTTTCATCAGAAGCTGTGTGCAAACAGATTAGGTACTGCAGAAAGTTAATGCCATGCAAATGTGCCACATTCCAACCCTCACGTTAGACGAAACAGAGAATAATAAGTGATGCAACAGACATGTTGGCAGAGATGAAGGCATTCATACAAAGCATTAACAATTAGCAAAAACTTGTTCGGGTGTTCCAGAAGTTAAGAAGCAACTTGTACTTATATGAACTTTGCCTTCAGTTTCCAAACAAACTATTTGTTCTTTGAGCGTTTCTCTGTTGAAAATGGTTGGACCCAGTTTTGTGTCCTACTTTGGACAGCTCCAGTCCTCATTATGATGTTTTTCTTGCGACTTTGCTCTTCAATCCACTACAGCCATTTCATTGGCTTCAGAAAAATACAGGTTGCTCTCAAGCGGCAGTGAGGGACCACGCAGCAATGATTGCACCTTGACAGAACTCTATCAAATCCACTGACGTTACACAATTGGCCCAACGAACACTCAATAATCAGCCAAACTAAGAGCGGCCCCATCAAAGGTTCATCTTTCTGCCATTCAGTTTGAACGGAATGGATTTTCTATTTCTAAAGAAACAGGCCTCCATAAAACAAAACAAAATAGGTCAAATATTGGTCAAACCTAGTTTGAATGTAGAAAAAAAAAGAGAAACATGGGAATGGCATTGGAGTGAGAAGGCGCTGAAGTTGCCGCAAGCTCAGAGGTTTGAGGTTTTGCCAAAGCAAGCAAGAAGCCGGAGTTGTCCCTCATCACAGTGCTAAAACGACTCAGCGCTCTGTTGGAGCATAACCCCTTCGCCTCGATCGTTCCCTCTTGCCGAGTCCAAGCCCTCGCAGCATTATTTATTCTGATCCATAACACAGACAGGCATGTTGTGGCATTCAGAAAATCACCAACAAACACTGCCAACTAGAATGCCTGGGACGTCTGCTCCAGATTTAGAAACACAGGCCTAGTTGTGCTTTGCAATTTACATGAAGCTCTCCGTCTCCACTAAAAACTCCTGTTGACCGGGATTTACAAACCTACTGGATTTGTGAGGCCAAACATCAGGTGGTGAAAGCAGAACCGTTAAAGGAATAGCTCACCCATTCACCCTTGGCCGTCCAAGATGTAGATGAGTTTGTTTCTTCGGAACAGATTTGGAGAAATGTTACATTATTTTCTTAACAATGGGTCCTCTGCAGTAAATGGGTGCTGTCAGAATGAGCTTCTAATAAAAACATCACAATAATCCACAAGTAATTGCTTCCTGCTAAAATATGAGTTCTTATCCATAATAGTGCTTGCAGTGAAAACAAATAGTCTTGTCTGAATCAGAAGAGAAATATGCACAGATTGACCACTGCTTAAACAGTTATAAACAAATATGTCGGTGGATTTTGATGTGAGAGGATAACAGGGTATGAACATTTTTACTGGAGGAAACATTATTATGGATTATGGACTATATTTTGGCCAGAAGCACCATGGATTTGTTTCTTACGAACATGCAGGTTTTCATTTCTCAAGACGTTAATTGATGGACTGAGTGTGGATTACTTGTAGACTATTGTAATGTTTGTATCAGCTGTTTGGACTCTCATTCTGTTGGCACCCATTCACTGCAGAGGATCCACTGGTGAGCAAGTGATATAATGCTAGGTTACTCGACATCTGTTGCCATGAAGAAACAAACTAAGCTAGGCAGGAGGGTGATTTTTGGCTCTATTTTTGTGAGCTATTCCTTTAAGCAAGAAGCTCAAAATATTATGTTAAATGAGCTGTGGTGTCATGGTGACCCTAACACAAACATTTTGATTTGTATTTGCAGATAACAAACTAAATATTTGGTATTCGTATTTGCTACGGTACATTTTAGATGGATGGCTTGTTTGCACTGTCGATAGTGGAACACTAATGAATACATTAATAGTGTGATTATTTCAAAGCGTAATGATTAGTTTGTGCTAATGGAAAGATAATGGCTGTTATAATTATTGTAAATTATTTGATAATTAAGCATATTTGTTATTTTTATGGGAAAAGCACTGTACTTTTGCACTGCATATTTTTTATATAATCTGGAAAAATGTCATTTGCATTTATTACTGTAGGAAGCTATTTGTGTCTCATAAAACATTACTTTTGCTGGTGTAACCTAATGTAAAACCTCTGTCCTTTTGAACTTTCTATTCATAAAAGAATTCTTTAAAAATGTGTCATGTTTCCACAAAAATATTAAGCAGCACAACTCTTTTCAACATTATAATAAATGTTTCTTGAGCAGCAAATCAGCATATTAGAATGATTTCTGAAGGACCATATGATACTGAAGACTGGAGTAATGATGCTGAACATTCATTTTTGCATCACAAGAATAAATTACATTCTAAAATATATTCAAAAAAAGTTATTTTAAATTGTAATAAAATGTCACAATATTACTGTTTTTACTGTATTTTTTTCATCAAATATATGCAGCCTTGGTGAGCATAAGAACCTTCTTAAGGACATCTTTCTGACCCTAAACCTTTGAGCGTATTTACTGAACCCAACACACATAAAAAGTTTTGCGTTAAAAACGCTGTGTAAAACAGATATAGAGCATGAAGTGTACTCTACACTAAACCTAGTGATTTCCCTCTCCAGCTTCATTTTGACAATTTTAATAGGACATTTTTGCTGGCATATAGTTTGCCTGTATCTCTGTCATTGAACACTGGGGGCAATTATGTAATTACAGTCAAATCTGCAGCCTATGACCTTAGCCAGAGCCTATGCAAATTTGTATTATAGCCGTCCATGTTAATTAGGACATTATACTAGATTTTAAATAAGGAGGATTTAGGCGTTAAATAAAGCAACTAAGAATGCCCTCTGACATAACTAGTCCTGTGACTTCTTCTGTAGTGCAAAACTCAAAATTACACTTAATACAAGCCAATACAAGCACATGAGCAGACTGTTGTGGTTAAAATGTGTAAATTGAGAAGAAAACACAATCAAACAACAATCTTTTAAAGTATAAACAGATATTATAGTCAATGATAGTGAGGTTAGTTATTTTCTAAATGAAGAAAAACTCAACAGCTGTTCTTTGTTACATTTGTG